GGTGTGTGTGTGTGGGGGGGGGGGTGCACGCAATATAACAGTACCTACAAGAAATGTAAGTCTGAAGTAGAGTGTGGGGGGCCCAGGGCAGAGAGTTGGAGTGTGGGAGACTCAAAGAAGGGGGAATGTGGGGGGTGTAGAAATCAGGGCAGGGGGCTGGAGATAGAGGGTCAGAGAGGTTCAGGATTAAAGGCAGGGGATCCAAGGTAGGAGGGATGTGGGAAGTGTGGAAATCAGGGCAGGGTTTGGGGGTGGGAGGGTCTGGGCAGAGGTCTGAGGGGTCAGGAATAAGGACAGGGGATGGGGGTCATGGCAGGGAGGATGTGAGGGGTTCAGGAATAAGGGATGGGGCCGAAATCAGGGCAAGGGGTTAGGGGCATAGAGATGAGTGTGGGGAAGGCAAGGGATCCATTTCAGGAAGGTGGGGGGCTAGAGCCACACATCCTGGGTTGCTGCTGCCCTTCCTCTTTCTCTGACGACCAGGGAGAGAGGGGAAGTGCCGCTTGTGTGAAGTCTCTCTGCCCTTCCCCTGGGCAGCTGGGAGCAAGAGGAAGGTGCACATGCTACTCATGGTCCCCTCAGTCCCTGATGATCAGGGGAAGAAGAGCAGCAGAGTTCTGGCCACATGCAGCTCTCCCGCCTCCCCCCAAGGGTGCAGGAGGGGTGTAGGGACTGGGGCAGCCCCGAATGAGGCGCACACACATACCCAGCCAGCCCCTTTCACCTGCCTGGCTGCGTGCTGCTTAGCAAGGCAGCCTGCAGGACAGGCCTGGGAGCCTGACTGGGAGCAGCTGCAACCAAGCACTCCAGCCCGCCAGCTTCTCTGGATTTGGGCCCACCGGTGGCTGTGGGCCCGCATGTGCAGTCTAACCTGCATGCCCCCTCCTTGCACCCCTGTGCCCATCAAACAGGGACATTATAAACCAAAGCAGGCTGGTGCTTTTAGACCAGGAAACTTGCTACAAGGGGACATGACAGGCACAGAGCAAACCTTCCCTGGCATCGCATGCTCCCTGCGTGAATAGAAAGCGCAGACAAAATAGCATTGCTTTCAGCGAGGCACATGGAATCGAGCATGGCCGGGGCTGCTGAAAGGTCAAATGAAGCATCCCTGAGTGGCACAGTTCCTCCACGTGGAGGTTGCCACGGTGATAATGCTAGATGAGTGACTAAAAGGTGGTGTCCAGAGAGCCAGTGGGAAACAACCCACCACACAGCTGAGAATGGTATTGTCACACCCTGGACCCATTGGGGGATGAGCCAGTGCTGGGGATTTTCACAGGAAGCGGATCAGATCCTCAACGTGTGTACATCGGTGTCAGTCCATTGCCTTTCCGATGTACACCTCCCGGGGATTTGGCTCAGTACATTTACAAAGCTACTTACTTGCTGTTTCATCCTCTGTGCCCTTCTGCATGAGGCGGTGCTTATAACATGTCCTTTAAGGGGATTCTATGGGGCATTTTTGCTTTCATTCATCCGGCATTATTGTGGGATGCATCTCACCTCCTTTCCACTCTGATTTAAGCGCCAAGTGGCTTACAATCAATAGGGCATAAGTGTGTTCGGTTCCTCACAGATAGGCTTACCATATCGTAGGAGAAGGCTCCTCAATTGGAGGGAAGCATATGACCCTTAAATATTAATAACTTGCTTTGAAAAGTGCTATTTCAAAGGTAGTGTCTCCTTTAATCTGTCTTTCTACTCTGGAAAGCGGTACCCGGTAAAAGTAGTAAGAATGCAATTTCTTTCCTGGCAGATTTGCTACCCTGCTATATACAGAGGTGGTGCTACTGAACTTAGATGCAGATACATTTTGACTCCTTTTCACTCCCTGTCACTATGGCAAACTGAACTGGATTCTGTGGTGGACTATGCCTCAGTCACAGGATTGTTAGCTGAGGTTCTTTTGCAGAGCCACCTGCTGTCCCAGGAATACATGGGGAGCAGGGGTTACCACAGGTGTACATGAAGGTGGAATTTGAAAACAATGGGGATGTACAAGTGTAAGAAAGGGCAGAACTAGACCTGCAGGAGTCTTTTTCCTTGTAATGATGATGTAAAGGGCAGGAAAAAACCCTTAAGCTTTATTTTGAATCCTCAGGTAAGTTTTCAGGGCTCTCAAGGGGGCGGGGGAGAGCTTTTACTTCTAAATGGAGCATATTGGATACCAAAATAATTGCCAATTGACATTGAAGCTCTGGATGCTTTTTGTACAGCCTCTTCAGAGCAGACTGCGAACAAGAATTCTTTGCCCCATCGTCGTTAATGCCATTACAGCCAACAAAAATAGCACACGGGTTGCTCCTGTAAGGGCTGAAATGAAGCGAAGCTTGAGGGGAGACATGAGCTCACAACAGTGGATTTGGCAGGAAAGCAAATTTCAAATTCTGTATTTTAATAGATTCAGGCAGAGGCCTATATAGTGCCTTTCTGAGCCTTGGGGTCCTCCATCTATGGGTGGATCTCATCCTTCCTGCATAGAATACGAGGGTCAGGTGTTCCTTGGCACCATCCCTTCAGAGACAAACCTAAGATAGGAATGGGAAAGTACTGGAGTGGGCCAGTAGCAGGGCCCAATAGGCAAGAACTGGTCAGATTTGGGGATGGAGCATTGTCTCTAAAAATAAAAGTAACCTAGCTCCAGACCTGAAGAAGAGCTCTGTGTAAGTTCAAAGGCTTGACTCTTTTTCCAACTGAAGCTGGTCCAGTGAAAGATGTTACCTCACCCACCTTGTCTTGCTGATATCACCAGACAGTCACTGCCACAACTTCAGAGCAACATGCAGGTCTTCTTTGTTCAGGGGACCCAGGTCAGCTGTGGGCATGAGAGATCTTGCCAGGAAATGTTGGAGGAAACACATGGGGCCCTTCCATGGATGGCCCTAGTCTCCACTAGACACCAGGCAGTCTGAAGGCACCACATTGGGTCATTCCACAGAGGGTGCATTCCCTAGCCAACACAGCAATGCAGGAGGATTCCAAAAGGACATCCTCTTCCTCCTCCTCACAGAACTCATCCCAGGAGTATTTTCAACCCATATGTATCAGTTTGAAGCCTGCACCTGTGTTTTAGGAGCTCAAACATATATAAAAAGATGTGCCGCTCCTTTCTAAAATAAACATGAGCTTCTTTAAAGAGGCTGAGTAATACTTAATGCTCCAAGTATTGTAAAATCATGCACACATTTTGTATTAAAAGCATGTCACGTCATGAATGCGAGAGTGACTCTCGCACCATTTGGTACTCAATTCCTTTTGTTTTACCAAATTAGTACTGACACCTGCTGCACTCCCTTCCTTCTCCCAATTACTCACTTGCCAGCCAAGACTGATCCGTCAGTTACTTGACAATTAGCCCAGGAAAGATGATTCAAAGCTCAAATCTCAAAAATGCCCCCCCTTTCCCTCATCCATAATGATTTATCAAAAATCAAATATCAAAGTGTAATAAATCAGCATGATCACATTAAATCAATCTTCAAATCTTCTCCTCCCCCAGTTATTCTTGAAGAAGTTGGTGGTGTGATAGATGCTGATCAGTCTCTTGTCTGAAATGTGAGTTGCTACAGTATGGCATTAAATGAAAGGAAATGAAGCAGATTCTCTCATGCAAATATGAGAATAGATTTTAGAGCAGAGAAAGAAATGTTAATGAATAAACATGAGAAGTCAGATTCTCAACCCCAACTGTGGCTGCTTAGCTGCATGAAGCAGCTGTAAAGTCACAGCCAGGAATTCCTCTGACAAGGGGATCCTCAGGTGATGAAAAGACAGCACGGATGGCTCCATGCCATCTGCTCCTCCCTCTATATAGAGGGAGAATTAGGGGGAGCAATAGGGCCAGTGCACTGTGATTCACTGAAGCCTGACTGGTAAAATGCTTGCAGAAGGACTGCTACAGCTGGCACGGTTTGGAGTAGCTCTTGGATTGTTCTAAACTACACGTGGGCTGTTTCAGCTCCCAGCCTTTCCAAGAA